GGCGCCCCCGGCCCCACCGGGACCCCCCCCCGGTACCTCCGGGCCCTCCCGGCGCGGCCCCGGGCGCACAAACAGCGGCTCCGCCAAGCCCTCACGGAGGGGGCGGGACTAACAGGGGAGGCGGCCAATCAGCGAAGAGCCCGCCTTCTGCCCCCGCGGCGCCCCCGGCCCCACCGGGACCCCCCCCCGGTACCTCCGGGCCCTCCCGGCGCGGCCCCGGGCGCACAAACAGCGGCTCCGCCAAGCCCTCACGGAGGGGGCGGGACTAACAGGGGAGACGGCCAATCAGCGAAGAGCCCGCCTTTGCGCTCCGCCAATGGGAGGAGAGGAGGGCACCGCCCCGCGGTGCTGCACCAATAGGTGGGAGGGGAGGGGTGATGGACAGCAGGGCGGCCAATGAGGGGAGGAGAGCGTGTGGCCAATGAGGAGGAGGGAAGGCGGTGCGGAGGCGGGGCTTGTTTGAGTGACACGACAGATGACCAATAGGAAACGGAGACGCGCGGGAGGGCGGGACGAACAACAAATAAGGTGACTGAAGGGGGCGGAGCCCCGCCGCGGCGTCACCCAATGAGAAGGCGGGCGGAGGTGAAGCCTCGCCCAATCAGAGAAGCAGCTGTCTTTGATTGACAGCGGGGACAGCCGGGAGCGCGCACGGTGGGGGCGGAGCCAAATCGGACCAATCAGAGCGCTCCGCCGGCGCGGTGGGCGTGGCTGTAAACGGGGCGTGGCTTGTGGATCAGGGGGCGTGGCCTCGGGTCCCCCTCAGGTGGCTTGGGGACATTTTGGGGGGATTTGGGACATTTTTGGGGGATTTGGGGACATTTTGGGGGATTGAGGACATTTGAGGGGATCCTGGGGACATTTCGTGGCTTTTAGGGGCATTTGGGAGGGATTTTGGGGATATTTTGGGGGGTTTGGGGACATTTTTGGGTATTTGGGGACATTTTGGGGATATTTTGGGGGGATTTGGGGACATTTTTGGGGTCTCAGGAGGTGACAGGCCACCCCCGAGGTGACAATGCCACCCCGATTTTAAAAAAAAAAAACACCACAACCACCAAACGAATTTTTTATTACAAATTTTTGCCAAAAACATTAAAAAAAAAAAAAAAATTCGTCCCCAAATTTGGGGGGGGGGGAGGGGACATTTTGGGGGGGTCTGGGGACATTTTGAGGAGTTTTGGGGACATTGTAGGGCTTTTTGGGGCTTTTCGGGTCGTTTTAGGGATTTTGGGGACACTCGGGATCAACTGGAGGAATTTTGGCGCCATTTTGGGAGGTTTTGGGGTCATTTTTGAGGATTTGGGGTCATTTCGGGCCCTTTAGGGGCATTTTGGGGCCATTTTAGGGTCGTTTTTTGGGATTTGGGGTTGTTTTGGGGGATTTGGGGTAATTTTGAGGGATTTGGGGCCATTTTGGGGCCCCTAAGGGGCGTTTTGGGGACATTTTAGGGTCTTTTTTTTTTAATTTGGAGCTATTTAGGGGGTTTTAGGGTTGTTTTGGGGTAGGTTTTGGGGGATTTGGGGCCATTTTTGGGGTTTTGGGTCCTTTTTGGGGGGTTTGGGTCCCTTTTTTGGGGTTTTGGGTCCATTTTTGGGTCCATTTTTGTGGTTTTGGGGCCGTTTTTGGGGTTTTGGGTCCATTTTTGGGGTTTTGTGTCCATTTTTGGGGGTTTTGGGGCAGTTTTTTGGGGGTTTGGGTCCGTTTTTGGGG